AAAATAATGATAATAATATCAATGATAAAAAACAACAATCATCATGATAATAATAATTCATTTCATCATCATTCATTCTAGATCTATAAGAAGGATAAAATACTGTCCTGAACACCGACATTGTCTTGCTTTATCGGCTGTTGCGACGAGGAACATCAATTTGCTTAACTAATCCCTCACGAACAGGTGAAATGGGAAGTCCCGGGATTATGAAACCCTTGATGGCTGCACACGACATTTTCCACTCGCGATCCACTCAGGTAGCGCCCAGCACATCGACCTGCTCCGCCTCCCCCTCAAAGGCTATAGTCACGTGCGCGCCATCTATTGGTTGCGAGTGAAACTAAACGGTGGGAACCAATCAGAGCCATCTCTTTGATGAAAGTGAAGTTTCATGAGGAGCTGCCATCTATTGCATGACTAGCTTACTAAATTGGTCTAGTATGCTGGTCTGTCAAATCGTGTGAACTATTGGTCATGTCATCTGACAAGGCAACGAAAACAGAAAAGGGAGTGAGAGGCTTATTCTTATGAATTCTAGGTCCCCTTTCCCTCCGTTATGCATGTATATATATATGTATATATATATATATATATATATATATATATATATATATATATATATATATATACATATATATATATAATATATATATATATATATATATATATATATTATATATATATATATATATATTTATCTATATATATGTATTTATGTATATAGGTAATATCTCATTTTGTTACACATATTCTCCTCAGATTTCTGCCTCTATTCGTCTGAGCGTCTTAACGTCGTGGTTAACTATTCCTTTGTGAAATATGATTTTAAAATATGAACATTAATCATAATTTGTTATGGTGCAAGTAGCCTGTCACACATTTTAGTCCTTCAGATTAATAACGTATTCATCACCAGTTTCGATCTCTTTCTCTGTCTTTTTTCTCTGTCGCTTTGTCTCAGAATTTATTTTGCCCTTTTTTATATGTCCATATGTGTTTCTCTTCTTTTCTGTGTGTCTGCCCGTCTATCTGTTGGCGTTTCTGTGTGTGTGTGTGTGTGTATGTGTGTGTGTGTATATATATATGTATATATATGTATATATATATATATATATATATATATATATAATATATATATATATATATATATATATATATATATATTTATGTATATATATATATACATACATACATAATATATATATATATATATATATATATATATATATATATATATATATATATATATATATATATATATATATATATATATATATATATATGTATGTATGTATATGTATATATATATATATATATATATATATATATATATATATATATATATATATATATATATATATATATATATATATATTATGTATGTATTATATATATATATATATAATATATATATATATATATATATATATATATATATATATATATATATATATATATATATATATATATATTATATATGTATGTATATATAATATATATATATATATATATATATATATATATATATATATATATATATATATATATATATATAATATATATATATATATATATATATATATATATATATACCATTTACTGTTTCTTTTCTCTGCTTTTTTAGTTTTAGATTTCTTTCTCTTTCTCTTTTTACGTCATCTTCCCCTCTCCATATCCCCTCTCTATCCGTCCCTCTCTCCATCTTTTTCCCTTTCCTTCCCTTTATCCCCTAATTCACTTACACGCTTATTTTCTCTTTCTTCTCCGCTTTATACACATTCCCCTCTTTCTCTTTCGCTTTCTCCTGATCTCCTTCCCTCCTTCGCTCTCTTTCTTTCGCTTCCCCCTTCCCTTTCACCCTCCCTCTATCCATTTCTTACCCCCCCCCCCTCTAATAGTCCCTCCCTCCCTTCCTTTCTCTCTTCCTCTAACCTCCTTTCTCTCCCTCCTCCCCTTCCTATTTATTTCCCTCCGTCCCTCTCTTCCTCTCTCGCCTTCCCTCCATTCTCGCTCTCGATTAAGCTGTTGCGTGATCCAGGACATTAAGTTGTTTAAAGAGGAAATGGAGAGAATTATTAGGAATTTGGGTCTACGGAGGTATAAATGTCTTCTGGATATTGGAGCGCTTTTGGGTTATGATTTTTCACTCACAGAAGCACAGGCATTTACATGCGCGCGCACGCGCGCGTGTGTGTGTGTGTGTGCAAATGTGAATATGTATATACATATATCTGTATATATATATGTATCTATATATATATATATATATATATATATATATATATATACATATGTCTGTATATATATATATATATATATATATTATATATATATATATATATATATATATATATATATATATATATATATATATTATATATATATATATATGTATGTATATATATATATATATATATATATATATATATATATATATATATATATATATATATATATATATATATATATATTTATATATGTATATATATATATATATATATATATATATATATAATATATATATATATATATATATATATATATATATATTATATATATATATATATATATATATATATATACATATATATATATATATATATATATATATATATATATATATATATATAT